TCCCCAGTTTGTGTCCATGGGCTCTGGCATCGCTTGAGCGTTCGTGTCTCGTTCATCTAAACCGGCAGATTTTGAGCGTATTACGTTTTTTCAATTTAAATTTCTTAGTGACGGCTTTTTGGTTAAGTTCCTGAAAACCGTGTTTGCTTCCCGACCACGGTGCGCTTCAAACGGTTTTAGATTCAGGGTGGCGTTTTTAGCGAATCTCAAAGCACCGAGGGCTTTTTCAAGCATCCGCTCCAAGGGTTCCGGTTTTTCCTCTCGCGCATACGTTAGTACCGAGTTCTTGAGACTGCCGATTGTCCGTTCGACGCACCCTGTTGCCCGATGATCGTTAACTGGCGAGGTAAGTATTTTAATTCCTTCTTTGTGACAGAATGTTCGGACCTCCTTGGACATGAAATTCGTTCCCTGGTCAACTCGTATTTGTCGCAGAACTCCGTGTGCAATTATATGTGCTTTTAAGAATTTTACGATTTTGTCCGACCGATTTGAATTACACACCATGGCCGATGGCCATCGAGAAAAGCGATCTACCGCCACCAGAACATACTTTTTAGATTCATTTAAATAGTTAATTGGCCCCCAAAAGTCTAATTGCACGCATTCATTCAGTTCTTTGGGTTCAGATATTTTCCCTACATCCCCTTTTGAGCACATGTTTTTCAAATTCTTACCAGCTAATGTGCATTCTTGGCAATTTCCTGCGATTGTTGCTGAGCTGCGGAACATGTAGGGGTACCAGATGTCTTTGGCCGCCTCGAACATATTCGATTTCCAATGGTGATAATAATGCAGTCTGTTGTTTACCGCCGCTTGCAAAGTTTTTGGAATTACGAGTCTCCCATCCATCCACAGGCATCCGTCCTTCACATGAAAATCCTGAGTATATTGGGCATAATATTTACTCATTGCTGCAATTTTTGTGTGTAGATCCGGGTCCTTGCACTTGATCATTTCGATGATTGCTTGTAGTTGAGAATCTGAGTTGTACTGAGATTCGATAAATCGAAGATTAAACAATTCTTGGAGAGCATTCTGTTTATTAACTACTTTACAATTTCTCGGAATAATAGACATAACACGATTTTCAGGGGTAACCGGTGAATAACTTTCGCCAGGATAAACCGACGGAATTGAGATAATAGTGTTACTTTTAGTGCTCCGGACTTCTGTTGTGACTGCCTGTATATCTTGATTTATCTCCTCTATCTCGTCGCTACTACTAATGCTAGGGTGTCGTTCCAGTAATTTCCTGATTTTTCGTTCCATAATTAGATTAGATTTTGAGTTTTGAAAGTTTATACGTGTATTTGAATAACCGAAATCTGTTTCAATAATTGTCCCAATTAAATTCTCGCTGGACTTAAGTGACCTGCCGGACATGCAATTCGTCGCTCTATGATTGGTCCAATTTCAACCGCATGTTCTTTCGCCCTCTACCGGCTGTTCTCTATTCGATATATTACAAACGCGTTTATTATTATTAGCCTTTGGAGACTCGTTTACCTTTTGATAAATCTTTCTTTTTAAATCCGAGTGCGAATCTAATTTGACTAATTTTCGCAACCGTGAACATACTATCATATGTGCTGACCGGTTTAGCGTCTGAACTCGAGTGCCGCAATAGGTAGTCCGCAAAACCAATTTTAGCTCCGGGTTTGTGTTCCACTTGAAAATCAAACGGTATAAGGCGATCCAGCCACCTGGTTAATCTACTGAACATCGTCTTGTTCTTTTTGTTGTTCCCATTTAGTAGCAATACCAAGGCTTTGTGGTCCGTGACGATTAAAAATTTTCTCCTCAGCACATAATTTCGGAAAAATTCCGCCCCCCCCCCCCCACACACACACAACTGCGAGCATTTCCAGTTCGTTCGTTGAATACTTTTTCTCCGCCTCGTTTAAGTACCGGGATGCGAAGTATATCGGCCTCCATCCGTCGGAATTTAGTTGTTCAAGAACCGCACCGAGCCCGTTATGGCTTGCGTCACAGACGATTCTTGTGTCACGGTGTATATCGAAATGCCGGGGTTCCACTATGTTCGCTACTTGCTTTTTTAGATTCTCGAATGATATTTGACACTCACTAGTCCAAATATATTCATTTTTCCTGCTTAATAGGGGGCGTAGCGAGGCCGACGATTCCGCGAGTGCTGGGAGGTATTTGTGTAGACTATGAATGGAGCCCATGAACGATTTTAATTGCGAAACTGTTTTAGGGGCTTTTAGAGACTCGATTGGTTCCGTTTTTCGGATTAGTGGCGTAATTCCCGAGCAAGTTATTTTATGCCCCAACCATTCGCATTCTTTTCGCGCAAATTGACATTTAGTAAGATTGAGCGACATGTTTTCCCGATCTAATTTCCGTAAAATCTTCTCGACCGCCGCGATATGCTCAATTTCGGTGCCTTTCGTGACAACCAGGATGTCATCTATGAATGCGTGTGCCTGTGGAAATTCCGATAGGATTGTATCCATTACTCTTTGGAATTCCGCCGGCACGGTTGTGAGGCCGTAGAACCCCGTTCGAAAACGATACGTGCCCGTTGATTTTCCCCCCAACGAAAAATTACATTGAACGCTCGTCTTTGGACTAAGTGGTAACTGACCGTACGCATATGAAAGGTCCATCGTAGAAAAGTATACATCCCCTGTTTTCCGTTCGCTTATCGTTTGTCCTACGGTATCCATGAGCTCTTCGATATTGGGCATTTGATATTTATTCTTGTGGACTTGTTTATTTAGCTCCCTTGACTCTAGCGCTAATTTTACTGACCCATCTTTTTTCACTGTTTTTACAATCGGGGAGACGAAGTACTTGTCAGAACATTCTTCCAGTTTTTCGATATGCCCTTGCTGCAAAAGTTTACTAATTTCCTTATCAATGTAATTGGTACTCTTCGTCCTTTTTGTTGGATTGGCGTTAACGTTTCGAAAAATTCCGCGTGCACCTTGTGATTCTTAGTTTTACCGACTCTATGAAAAACTAAGAATTCGCCCCCTGTTGTTCTCCTTGAACTGACATCACCTTTTGCTCCGGTGTCCTTTGCACTATTTGTAATCCCAGATTTGGCATTAGATCTCTCCCAATAATCGACGGTCTGTTTCCTCCTATCACCTTGATTCTTGCTTCGGTCACCCATCCGTTCGTTTCCAATGACACGTCCATCGTCCCTAACAGCTGTAAAGGATTGTTTCCGCAATCTTTCAACTCGTCATCCTCGGGTGCTGGCTCCTTTACGTTTACGCCTGCGGTGCCCAACGTTCGTTTCAGTTCTCCAACTGTGAATATTGAGATCGGTGATCCGCTGTCTATCCAGACGTTTGTTTGCCTACCATTTATCTTAATTGGCAGTCGAGCGCCGGCCACTTTCAATTCGGTTTCCTTCCGAGATTTTATGGCCATTACAACATAGTCTTCTGAACAGTCCGAATTCCACGATCTTTGCCTCTTATCCGGTGTGTTGACCCATCCTACTGAATTTTCATGTTGCGAATAGGCATCCTCAGCGTCACCTATTTCGCTAACATCCGCATCCTCCTGGTTTTGAATCAGTCCCACAGCAGGTCTCCCCCGGTTAGTCCGCTTTCCCCGACAAAAATTACATGTCGCACTTCTAGCTGGACATCTAGTTAGATGTTCCGGAGTAAAGTTGGGTTGGTCACAATTATAGCACCTTTTGGATGCTCCACCTCTCATATCTGCTCGTCCCCTGTACGATCCACGGCCGCGCTGTCTGCTTTTTCGGTATCCCCCTCGGATTGTCCCCACTGGTTCCGTTTTAATTTGGAACGCTCCGGCTCCACCGATGGTGCCGCTTGTTGTTGCTCCCCCGGTTGTCGAACCATATGATCTAGCATACTTATATCCACGCTCATATGACAACGCAACTCGATACACCTCCTCTGGTGTCTTTGTTGATCGACATAGCTCGTTCTGTGCCTCTCTATTATTCATGTTCACAATGAATACGTCCCTTAGAATTCTGATCTCCAACGCTCCAAAGTTGCATCGTGCTGCTAGTCCGCTTAAAACTGAATGGAACTGCTCCAAGGATTCTCCAATATGTTGTTTTCTTGCCAATAACTGGAATGTTTCGTAAGTTTCATTCCGTTCTTTCTTGAACTCGATTTCTATGGCATCTAGTACTCTAGAATACCGGGTTGTAGATAGATCCAGGTGTGGCTTCCTCTTATGCAATTCATCTTGCCCTTTTTTCCCCAGACACAAGTACAAGTTAGATATTAGAGTTTGTTCCGCCGTCAGCCGATCTTTTCCGTCTACCTCCTCCGGTAGTGCCGTAACCTGAGCTGCTGTTAACGTACTGGCATAGTTAAAATTTCTCGGATTTATGCTGTGTTTGGCAACCACCCCATTGAAATCGGTTAAAACATGGCTCTGCGAACGTAGAGGACCAAAACGACGTAATCCCCAGTGGGTTTTTCCCCCCACTTTGACCTGTTGGCTGCGCCATGAGAAAAGACGGTTTCGATAGGTAAATTAATCCGTGAAATTTAGTAACCGTAAAGTAAGAAGTTAGTCGGAGACAATGAAATGGCGGTCAAGCGAAGGTGACAGACAACTCCGAAGGTTAAATACCAGTTAGCGCCAGACAGATAGATAAACTAGATAGCAACAACTAGGATGAAACTTAACTCAAATGGTGAACTAATTTAGATACTATGACAATCTATTTTCACGTTCGTATTTGGAGAGTGCTATTTATGTCACTTTCAGCGTTTGAATTTCAAGTGAACTCAAAAAGTGCATTATATAATAAGTGCATAAGTGCCTGAAAAAAAAACAAAAAAAAATCAGCAAGACCTATAAGAGTCTTCACTACGTTCATTACTCTCAATAAGAGTGTGAACTATGTTCATCATATCTTAACAAGATTAAAAAGATGCGCCATCTGCGAGTGACCAAAAACTATTGCTGATAGCTTAGAACGAGTAGCTCAGTAGTACTAGTACAAATTAGAAAGATGATAGTTCTACCTGATTGAGATGGAATGAGTCCTCCTGCGACTCCCACTGTGCAAAGTACTCCCTCTCTCTGCTTCTCTGTTCCAACACTATGCTCTCCTGTCTCTCGGCCTTTTCCCTCTCCCTTTCTAATCTCCGCTTCTTCACCTTCTCCAGTTCCTCCTGTGAACAAACAAAGATAACATTTAGAGTCTTCTTGCTCCAGAATTTATGGTAGACATACATTTAAAAAATATATATTTGATTTGTTCTTTCTACAAAACGACATTTGTTTCACTAATAGTTTATTGTCGGATATTGATTTACTTTTGAAACCTTTTCTGAAATAGATTCGGAACTCTTCTGTAACATCAGCTTTTGGGGAAAAATAATTATAATTTAACATACTTACCACAGTATTGATTGGCGAAGTCTCTTTTGTAGGTTTTGATCCTCCAGTTTTGCTTGCATCCTTTTCTTCTTTCTGAAATCAGCGCAAAATGATTCTGTGCTATCAACTTTTTTAGACCAACTTAAAGTAAACATAGCCAACTGGCAGTTGGAAAAGAGTTATGAACGCAAGTTAACAGAAAAAAACCACTGACTTGTTAAAAATTCTCAAAACTTTCAAACTTCAAAGAAAAAAATAGATGCACTGTAAGCTCTTTGAATTTCTAGAACGATTTATGCATGGCGCTTTTTTGCTAACATTAACCCAACTTGAAAAATCTGGATCAATAGGTAAAGTCTTTATTCCGCTGGAAATCTGAAATGAAATTCCACTTTCGAAACTAGAAATTGTTCACGTTTTTTGCGCCATTTCCACGTCCCTATTTGGAGAGTGCTATTTAGTTAATTTTCAGATGAATTTCAATTGAACTCAAAAATTGCATATATACCTAAGTGCATTCATAAATGCATTAATAATATTGAATGCACATTTGTAGTTATTAGAGCATTTTAAGACTTTTTCCCGAGAAAAAAAAACAAACAAAATCACCAAGAATTATATAAGAGTCTTCACTACGTTCATTACGGATCAATTGAGCAATCCCCCCACCCCCGTAATGACCAATTGAGCTATCTCCCCCCAAGCAAAAACGGTAATCCGCTACAAAAAGACATCAGAAAAAGCAAGTAGATAGTTGATGTGTTCGCAGCATGCAAACAATTGAACGTCTGAAGTTTATTTTATATGAATATCGAGAAAAATTTTGAAAAAAAATCGAATTTTATTTTTTGTTTGGGCGACCATTGCCTCATCGAGGTATGCGACTTACCAGGGTTGATGCTCTAGCCTTCTATCTGAATATCAAACATTGTTCTCCGCAGCACCTTAATATTGTAAGCAACATTTTTCCTCTGATTTATGATTTCATACCATTCAAACTATTTCCAAGTGGTTATAAACATGTCTCAAGTACCTAGTGAGCTTTATCCCCCCAGCGAGAATGGGGGGGGGGGGGAGATTTCTCAATTGATTCTTCATTACTCTTAATAATAGCTGTTTATGTTGACCTATAGATTCCCTTAACTTTAAATGTGACAGGTTTCCATTACTTACCTTTTTCCACACAAATGTCGAGAGTAAGTTTGGGTCTCCGAAGGGGTTGTCAGACTGAGTGTATCCAATTTGCTCCTCGTCCCATCCCAGTTTCTGCCTCCGTTTCAACTCTTTCTGTTGCTTCTTCTGCAATCTGCAAAAAAAAACAATCGAAATTGAGAAACCTTTTGATCTATTTAGGTGTTTATTTAGAAAAAAAATGTTCCCAAAAAACGCTAGCAGTCTTAAACCGCTTCAAATTTTTTTTTTGTTTGTTTTTAAATCGAAGTTTAGAATATTACAACTAGAAAAAATTGAGCAAAGCTTTACCTCCGCGCTCGTTTTTCTTCCGGAGTTTCATATAGCTTCATTTTCTCCTTTTCTATTTTTCTCAAACTACTGTCTTTCTGCTTTTGCTGCAAAGCGGTTTTAATCGGAGACGGCAATCTGGACCTTTTATACCCATCGTCTGAGCTTCGGCTTCTAGACCGACTTGATGACTCGCTACTTGAAGATGGACTCCTTTTTCTTCTTGACTTCTTCCCATCATCTCGCCGACTTCTCGACTCCGAATCTTTATGCTTGCGCTTCCGTTCCGATTTATCTCTGCTTCGGCCTTTTGATTTGCTTCTTGATTTGTGTTTCGCTTTGGAATCTTTCGCGGCTTTTGAGGACTTTTTATGCTCACGGAAATCAGGAGATACTTCCCGCCTTTCAATGCGAGATCTGGTCATTTTATTCAAGAAAAATATTGTTACATACTTCTGTGTTTCTACATACTTCTATCTGGAAATTTTCAAAACAATATTTTTCATTTAAAAGAAACAGCTTTACATATTAAATACTGCAGACAACACGAAATTTGAAAAATTAATTCAGACAAAATTGAGACGACTATAACTGGGAACAAGTCAAAAATCACAGCAAGTAAAAGAGAGTTCAACTACAACACAAGAAGAAGCCCGAGAGATCGGCATCTTCGTAATTTGTACTTTCATATAGTTTTAATGAGTAAAAACCTATTATTGCATCTGGGTTTTTAATCAAAATCGCGTGTAAGAAGCTCCAATTCGGGAACCCATTCCTCCTCGTGCTGGAGGTATCTGGGAATGCGCCATGCCTCCTCTTCTCATCTGTGGAGCTCCTCTGCCTCTTGTGAAACCTCCTTCGAACCCTTCCCCACCGCCACCACCTCCTCCGTACTCTCTAGAAATATCTCCGAATGAGGAAATTTCCCGCCTTGACGACATTGCACCTCCAATTTGTCTCATGGGTCTAGATATCGCGGCAGGCGGAACGCTTCTTTGCATTCCCATTGATCCAGTCATAGGCATCGATCTGGCACCAATGCCGCGGACGGAACGCTGACTTGGAGCCCCAAACTGCGAAAGACTAAAGGAGTCGTCTTCGTAAAATGGTTCCTGTTTCACTGGACGCATAAATGCTTCTCTCATAGGTTGCACTCTTCTGGCTGGGGGAGCAGCTTGAGGCATCAATTCACGGGTGGTCGCCATGGCGTAGGCCGAATCGTAAACCGTTGAAGGTCCACTGTACATTCTTTTCGGAGGACTCGCGCCCATGCTCAATGACTAAAATCAGAACAAAGTCAACACTCCTGGCCTATATTTATCTAACTAAAAATTTAAAGACCTGCTGCTATTGAATTTTACACCAAATACAAGGTTCTAATTTGTAATGCTAAAAAACTTGAAACAGTCCTTTCCAATTTAAACTTCAAATCTCAAGGACATCGCTGTCGGCCATCAACCACAGTGTACTAAAAAATAAGCAGAGCTAAAAGACAGTTGTTAAAAAGTCACCATACTCTAGGACACCAAAAAATCACCGACAATCTTAAAATTTAAACAAACAGCCAGTAAAAAGTAGGAAAAGAGTCAAAAACACAAGACAACAGAAAAAATAATTAGATTTATGAAGAACTTTCGAATCTCAAAGAAAAGAATAGGTGAGCTTAAAGCTCTTTGAATTTCTAGAGCAATTTATGATTGACACGTTTTTGATAAAAATTAACCCTATTTGAGAAAACTGGATCAATATCCAAAACTTTTATTTCGCTGAGAAATCTGAAAATTAAATTAATCTTTCGAAAGTAGAAGTCGATCACATTTTTGTGGCCTGTAGACTTTCTCCGTTAACAAAGGAAATGAACTGTACTTGAATAGACGCAAGGATAGCCGGTAACTAATCAAGTAGCACAGAATGTTCCGACCATAGTCTAAAAAAGACAAACAATTTTGTTGTCAAATTAGTGTCGTTTTTTTTTCTGCGTGATGTGATAAAAGGATCTGAACAAGGATCTGAACTGGAACTTGTTCGACATTCATAGTAAAATAGGCAAATTGGACAATTTTTTGTAGAAAAATGGTCAAGAAAACAAAAAAAATACCAAACGCGCTAAAAAAACTCCAAAAACAACTTTATTTAAGTAAAACTAAGTTTTCATGGCCTAGGTTAAGCAAAACTAGGCTATTGTAAGCCTGTTCGCTCGCACGATTCGCTCCAATTTAGACTAAAAATCAAAAATTTTAAACGAATCACGACTGAAAGTGCTTTAATATGATTACTTTGATAAACCGGATTAGCTCAATCTAACCTAATTTGAAATAGCTGAATCAATAGGTAGAATTTTCATTCCACTGTGAAATCTAAACTTATTCTTACTTTCGAAACTAGTAGTCGTTCATGTGTACCCTTTTGTAATTGGAGAGCACAATTTGTCTTCCTTTCAGAAAATCAATCTGAATAGAACATTTATAAGGAATCGAAAGTGAAACCTCGGAAAACCAAATTTGAGCGTGAAGAAATTTTAAACTTTTCAGAAAAACTCGGCATCAACAAATTTCTTCTTTTCGTTCATTGACACTTAATAAGGGTTCAAAACTCACTCTATTGAGTTCTTCATTGCGCCTCCTCAACATCATTAGTTCTTCCATTACCATCGATTCTCTTGGGGGAGGCATGGATGACATATACATTCCGTCGTCGAAATCTATTCCTCTGGCAGGTGGCGGAATTTGACGCATAAGTGGTGGTGGTGGTGCATGCATTTGCATTTTTCTTTTATTACCAAGTTGTGACCTCACATCGCCAGTTGGCCTCGCAGGCTGGTTGTTACCACCTCCAAGCATGGGCGGTCCACCAATTCTCCCAGCTAGAGTTGATTTTTTATTGATAAATTGTCGCGCGTCTACTCCCTGGCGCCGCATCTGATTTCCAGCGAAGCCTCCTCTTCCACCACCACCACCTCGGGAAAGTTTTCCTTTGTTGAGGAGCGCTTCTTTCTTCTTCGCAGCATATGCAGATAGAGGAACATTAAGCTGTGAAACAATAAAATCATCAAAACAAAGTCAACTAAACAGAATTGGAAGAACTCCAACAAATTTGATACTCTAGATGTAAATTCATCAAACCAAAATTTGACTTCATTTTGCATTAATATTTTTGAAATACTAACCAGTACAGTAATCTTGAGGTCTGCCAAGGTTTTTCCATTTTTTGCTGCAACTGCCTTCATTGCGCTCTCGTGGTCCTTGTAGTGAACATGCACATTTCTGGCACCCCTGGCGATCTTTTCAATCTCACCAAACTCGCTGAAACTCTCTTTGATCAAATCATCAGTCCACTTTTCTTTATCTATTTTCACTCCATCGCTTGATACTTTGACACTGGTTGCTTTTTTCATAGCTTCTTCATCTGGGTTCTCAGTTGGAATTGCCCAATCAGCTTTCGGTTTTTCAGACCAGCCCAGAGCCTTGGTATCGGCTTTTCTCAATTTCTGAAAAAATCAGGATGCAACCCCATGAAATGCCAAACAATTATTTTCGTTAGAAAAGAGACAGCTCACCCTGAGAGCATTAGATGCTTCGAAGTACGAGTCAAACTTGAGAAAACAAAAGCCGAGGTTGACCTCAGCATCCTCATTGTCAATTTGGAAGCTGACGGTCTCAAGTTTATCCACAATTTTCGAGAGATTTTCCTTTATCTGATCTTTCGTTTTTTCCTGCAATTAATTTACAAAAATGAGATCAATAAAATGACAATTTGAAGAAATTGTGTCCAACTAAGCGTCAATATATTTACCTTAGGGATATTTTTCAGATGTAATTTATTAAATTGAACTGAAAGTGCCACGTTCAATCGAACGCCAGGTCGCACTTGAAGCTTATTAAACTTTTCTATAGCTTTCTTGGCGTCTTCTTTATTGCAGAACGTAACAAAACCATGCCCTCTGTTATGATTTTTCTCTGTTGTCAATACTCGCAGCTCCCACAACTTCCCAACCGAACCAAATAACGGAATAAGAGAGTCTTCAAATATATCGCGTGGAATTCGATTCACGAACACTTCCGTACCGAGTCCAGGTTTCTCTTTTGACATTCCAGGAGGCGGTCCCCCGTATCGACGCAATCCTTCTGTTATTTCGTGCGAGTACCCAGTACTATCTAAAATCTGCTTAAGTTTCTCAGGGTCTGGTCCCGTTTTACTTTCATCGAATTTTCCGAAATCGAACTCCTTATTTGTTGTTGCTGCATTTGATGTGGTGGAAACACTTCCATTGACGGCTATAGGCTCTGCACTCGACTTTTCTTGCTCAGCTGTAACTTCATTGACGACTACATCGCCAACGTATTCATCAACAATCGGCATGAGATCATCGTCCTAAACCATTGTATACCAGATATTTTAGTATATTCAATTTTATTCACAGAGGCAGACAGGAATGGAAAAGAGAGCCACTAAGTCCAAAGAAAACGGAAGAAACCATAACTTCTAAATTTTGTCTGGAATGATATTTATTTGCGGACAACACGTCCAGAAACACAATGCGGAAAATTCAGAAATAAATGTTGAGCGAAAATAAAACTGTTGTCATAAAAAACTTTGAAATATAAATTCTATTCTGAAAATTTTAACGTTTTGTGAAATCCGGAGGAAAGCATACAAATTATGATTCCCGTGAACGATCCAAATTAAGTTATTGAGACGATAAATTACAAGCCGAAATAATTTAGGCTGAGAAAAAAGTAATTTAAGCACATAAAAAATTTAAAAAGGAAAACATACGAAGTCAAGATTAATAAAATCACAAATTGCAGGAGTAAATGAAAACAGAAACAGCAAATACAATGAAAACTGGTAAAGCAAAAAATATAAAATGTGGCAACTAAGCCGACAAAACTTAAGCAGACAAATAATAAGACAACATTTTTTTTGAAACGGAAAATTTCTCGTTTGAAAAAAAAACAGGTCCACGTCAGATTGTTAACCCGAAAAATTGTGACGTTGCTAGCCAAAAAAGTCTTTATTCAGATTTAATAACGCTTGATAATCGCAAGCTCAATTAACAAACTCCTGGATCAAGGCGAAGCGGAGTTCTAAAGTAACCACAGAGACGATGTGGAGCTACGCAACACTTGCGATGCACGAAAACATATTGTGCTACAACATAGTGCATGAAAAAAAAACAGAAGTCAAAAATTATTCTGATAAATTATGTTGGAAAAAATAAATTACGTGAAAAAATAACTTGACATAAGTTGAAAAACTCTTAACTACATAACTTCATATTTGTATCGGATGAGGTTCATAAAGAGGCCTTAAAAATGAAAGTCATTTACCGAGCGGCATCAAAGGAGACAAACTTGGGGTCGAAACCTGTTTAGCCGCGAACAAAACTGTTGTTATAAAAAATCATTTTTTACGGCCCATCTGAACTGAAATACAATCCCAAACGGATATATTTTGCTCTTGAAATTACGCAAAAAAGTCTACTAAGTCGATACAACATAAACTAAAACTGATTAAATATTAAAAAGGAGACTGTTTGAATACAACCCCATATAACGTGAAAACTCTTGGAATACAACCCGCCCATGCTTTTAAAAGTAAACGAGTGAAAAACTACCAAATAAAAAACGGCGTTTAAAAAACGGAAAAAGAACTGACAGAACAAAAAAACTTTTTTTGAAAAGAAAATAACTGCCTGAAACGGGTTTGGACTAATTACTACCCAAGTATCTTCTAGAGAAAGATACTACTTAGGTTTTTTTACGGGAAAAAAGTCGAGTACCCGATTGCAATACCCTTGCTTACCCCAAGGGTAAACAATATAACTTGAAAAAAATAGACACCCCACTCACTTCACATAATTGGTTGAAGCTTCATAGAAATAGGTTTCAAAAATAGGGAGCTCTCAATCGAAAATATGCTTTAGAAGACTTCTTTCAAAAAAATTTCTAACAATTTTTGTCATCAGCCGAAAAAATCGTATCAAAAAAATTGGCCTAAGAACGACGTCGAAAAGTTTTGAGCAATTGCGTTACAGCAGACAAGTTCTATCATTTTTTTTTTCAAAATTTTTTTAAAGAGCGCAGATACAAATCTAAAATCTTTGAATTATGCAGTGACATCTACAAACTCTTTCAAAAACAAAACTTACAAAAATGTTAAAATTAAAGCGCGAAAGCCATTGCCATACAGTTTCTTTTTTTTCAAAACCTTTGTTTATCTGTCAAAATTGTTTAGTATAAGCAAAGCATCACCTTGAAGATTATGCGCTTCAGCAAACTACATAAAAGCATAAAAATAAATTCCAAAAACTGCATCATAGAAAAAAACTGAAATCAATACAGCAAACAGTAAAACAATTTTTGATAAATCAATTTAGCCAAAAAGCATTTACAAATATAAAGAAAACAAAAATCTCATATGTATGCAATTCTTATTCTTAACATAGCTAACTGACAGTACACATCTGTACACAATGCACATCTGTATGAATGCCATACAGCTTCTTTTTTCAAAACCTTTGTTTATCTGTCAAAAATGTTTTGTATAAGCAAAGCACCACCTTGGAGATTCATCGCTTCAGCAAGCTACATAAAAATAAATAAATAAATTACAAAAACTGCATCATAGAAAAAAACTGAAATCAAAATAGTTACAGCATAACAATTTTTGCGAATTCAATTTAGCCAAAAACATTTTAAATTAAAAAAAAAAAATCTCATATGTATGCAATTCTTAACATAGCCAACTGACAATTGGAAAAGAGTAATGAACGCAAGTGAAGAGAAAAAAAACATTGACTTTATTAAATAAATCTAAACTTTCGAATTTCAAAGAAAAATTAGATGCCTTTTAAGATCTTTGAATTTCTAGAACGATTTATACCGATGAATCGATGTGCATTTTAGGACTTTTTTCCCTGAAAAAAAAAAACTACTTAAAAAATCACCAAGACCTATACAAGAGTCTTCACTGTGTTCATTACTCTTAATTAAGGCTTTAAAACTAGCATATATTTGATTTAAAAAAACAGATAGGAAAACAAATCGACCACATATGAGACAAAGCCAGCCAGCCGAAAAAAAGAGTAAATGAAAACTTCTTTATCATCTCACCTGTTTAAGGTGAAAAACAGTAAGTTGAAAAAATTGAAAGAACCTCTTATAAAGGAAAGTTACAAGAAGGTCCACCCAAAACTCGAACTAACTTCATATGTCGGACAACTCCGACTCGCTACTTTTAGGCTATCTGAGCACTGTCACGGCAATTTGAATTCAATTATGAAACAAATTGAACGCAACCGTTTTCAAGCAACCGTATTCTAGCAACCATTTGCAATATTTGCTAAAAGCAAGGGTAACAACTGATACATTTATGTTCTATTTATAATTGCTTTAATCACCCAACCACAACGTTTAATTATACTTCTGAATGTTCCGACTGCCCTCAGTCATCGCTTTTCGTTTGAAAAAAATCGTTTGGTACGTATTTGGCATAAACGATAAGGAGCTGGTTTTGTGTTAGTTTTTTCCTTACACTAATATTTTTCGCTCCAGTTGATTTTATTTTTTCGATGCACTCGAGAGCACCTGCTTCATCCATTGCAGCAAACTTTCCCAGGATAGGACCACTCAACTCTTCGACATATCCATCCTGCATCAGGCAGTCGAGTGCTTCTGCCGTTACGGCAGTCACGCCCAGTGAAAGCAATGCATCGAAGTTTTCTGTAGGCTCATAAGACATTTTTTTTCTGAAAAGAGACCTCAAAATTGAGTGCGTGCCGCAAATCAAATTTAACAAAACTTCATTTCCTAGTTTGCCTGGACCACAAGCTTGTCTTGGATCAAATGAATTAAGAATGTTGGTAATTTGATATTCAATTATTTCAATTTTCTGTACCTTAAAAACAACTATGGAAAATATTATTGAAAGGGCCTTTCTTTAGGACTTCAAATTTAGCAATTTAATTTCCAAAATAGTTTAGGCTACTGAAATATTTGTTCAACTACAAACCACTAGCAATTAGACTTGATGAGACGCCGTCAGAATTTCTACTCCTTACTTTTATTCATTCTTTATTTACATCTGCAATTTTTCTTATCTTTACGGAGAAAGTATGAGGTAATTGACTTCTGCAATTTCTTTTACTATCACAGTTACTTATTCCGAGAGAGAGAGAGAGAGAGAGAGAGAGAGAGAAAGAGAGAGAGAGAGAGAGAGAGAGAGAGAGAGAGTTTAAGCTTCTGTGTTTTACACAGGTGTTTGCACCCATTACTTGACGGCTGACTTTCTGCACCGGGTTGCAATGTCCACAGTTGCATATAAAAGCCCAGGAACACAAGTTGACTTTAGAGTAATCTTTGTAGAAGTAATTCAAGTATAATTTTGTAAGGTATGGTTTGTCAATTTGTTGACTAGTTCTTTTCCAAAAATTGTCGTCAGCCTTTCTTGTTCGAGTTTTTGTTATCGATGTTGGATCATTTTGTCTTGTTAATAGAAGATCGTCATTGAGTTTTGTATTAGACTATATCGGTAGTTTGATGTTGTAGCTGCCTTTCAACATTGATACTAGCATTAACAGATCATGTAGTTCAAAGTAATACGATAATGGAAGCAGTCTCAGTTCAGTTAGTCTTTGTTTATAGCTCCTATCCCAATTGCCCATTATCCAGATAGTTGCTTTCCTTTGGACACGTTCTATTTCAGATTTGTTCGCCAACCAGGCTGGTGATGCATAACTTATTACAGGTATTACATATCCTACGTACGCATTGAGTTTAGTGTTTTCAGCAGCAAGAGAGATGTTTCTTTTCAGGAAGTAGAATTCTTTCCAAGCTTTATTACACCTATTATCGACATTAGGTTTCTATGATAGTTTGCTGGCCATGATTAATCTAAGGTCTTTTGTTGGGTTTTTTCAGAAAGCTGTTTTGAATTACGCCTTTTTTCTGTTTTATTGGTAAGAAAAAGCATTTGCCATCGTTTAATTTCAATTTATTAGCATTGCACCAATCTTCCACTATCAATAGATCTTTTTGCATGCTTTCTGGCATCGAAGTTACACGCTTGAAATCATCCGCATAACTGAACGCTTCACATTCTGTCATTTCCTTCGGTAGGTTGTTCACATATATCATGAAAAAAGCGGGCCGAGTAAGGAATCTTGAGGTAGACCACTAGTGACAGGTACTGTTTCAGAAATGCAGTCATTTACTTTAACATACTGTTGGCGGTCAGATAAGTAACTAGCAACTAATTGAAAAAAAAATACCTCCAATGTCTAATTTTTCAACTTTTTGGAGCACCAAGTCGGGTGGAACACTTTGGAAAGCTTTTTTGAAGTCAAGGTATAACACAAAAAGTTCGTGTTCCTTTTCATCGTATTTTTTGTATAGAAGGTCTAAAAACAAAAGTATTTGAGTAACAACTGACCGATGTCTTCTAAATCCGTGTTGCGATTGGTGTAGTTGATTTTTTACATGTCATACAATTCATCAAAAATAAGTTTTTCCAGGACTTTTGATATGCTGCAGAAAAGACTTATGGGTCGGTACTGTTCAATAATTGCTGTTCTCGTAAAGTTGATAGATTTTTGAGCACTGTGTTTCCTATTCAGTCTGGGCCGCATGCCTTATTTGTTTGTAGCTTTGTCAAAACTTTCCTAATATTCATTTCATTGATCTCGATTTTATTGAATCTTTGTCTATCGTAACAAGTTTGCGTTATTTGATTATTTTTAAGGAACACAAAAGAAAAAGGTCACTGAAAAATTTACATTTTCGCTCGTCCTCATTTGTTTTCTGATTTCTGTAAGTCATAGTCACGCAGTACCTGCTGCTTTTGAGAATCGATTTAAAATCTTCGACCTCGACAAATTTTACTTTCAAACTCTGCTTGATCTTCGTTTAGCGACATTTTCAGTCTCTTCTCCATTTTCTTAAGTTTGATAAATCTATTGAGAGAAGATTTTTTCGACATTTTCCGTTTAAAAGCTGATATCATTTCAAGTGAAAAATTTATCATAAGGCCGTGAAAACAAGTAAACGATTGATTTTTTTTTCAAAATGTTTCGATTTACGACTAAAAAAATAAACAACTTAAATCAAAATTTTCCAAAAAAAAAGTGCTGAAACTTGACTGACTGGATACTAAATAGGAAAATTGTGTTTATTCGTTAAGCCCACGCATCTGAATTGAAGGCACGCCTAACTTAGCTCAAAATCATTTTATTTTTTGGCCAGCTACCGTCAACTACTCTTTTCCCTATTCCCTCATATCCAAAACAACCATCGCTTTTCAATAAGTGTTTCTGTCGATTTGTTTGATACAAACTATTCAAAGAGGAGAGAACTTTTTGAACTACAAACAGCTACAACTTTTTGAACTACAAACTTTTGAATAGATTGTCACAAACAGCAAGTCTCTCGTTGAGAAAACAAGAAGCAAGCTCGGCAATTAAAAAAAACTGTTACTAATAATGCAGGCAACTTTGGACTTGCTCACATATTGGAACTCAATTTTAGTCAAAACTCATCAATGGGTCAGGAGTTTTCTAACTGTAAAAAAATATTTAATAAAACAACCTGCAGAAAAAGAAGAACTAAAAACATAATTTCAATGAGCCAACTTTCATTCCGTTGTCTCTTCGATGCCAACGAGAAAGAAGCTTTCATACAAGTTGCCCATGTCAACCATTTTTTAAAAGAATTCAAGGAACTGACCCAAATTTCACAAATCTCTGTTTGATGAGATCTGTGAAGTCTAAAAATTTTGTTTGCCATGTTTTTTTGTTTTGTTATCAAATATTTTTTTCTAAAATTTTTTTTCTCCAAAAGAGCTAACTTATTTGATTTTAAAAAATAAATCTGACGAAATTCATCTGACAAAATGATGGTTTGTTGTAAAAAAAATTATCGGAAAACTTTTTTGTTTAAGACAAGGATAGCCGGTTAGTTTGCAAGTAGCCCACAATGTTCCGACCACAGTCTTGGAAAAACACAAGAATTTTAAATTGCAATCTGAAGTCATTTTTAAGCGTGATGTCATAAAAAGATCCTAATAAAAACTGGAGGTAAGGCTTATTCGACAGTCTTAATGAAATCAACAAAATGAAAAAAAAATGCAAAAAAATAACAAGAAAAAATCGAAGAGAACAATCAATCTTTTTTTGCAGTTTTGGAACCTGATCTAAACTACATTTTATTATTGGATAAATAAGACATTTTATCACTATAAAATATTTATTATTAACCAATCATATTCCATCTAACTAACAACCCACTTATTTGTAAAGGCTGAAATTACTTGTAATTTCAGCACCAGAGAGATTTGAATTTAATGTAACATTCGTCTACTACAGTCACACATGAGGCTTAAGAAAAATAGGCCCTATAACTATTGGCTCAGGAGTCAGGGACACTATCTCTTGTGTTTTTCCGCCTCAAATCAGTCGGAGCCAATTCGGTTCGCTTGTGACATGAGACTACGACCCGTTACAGCTTAAAGGCTACTACTAAAATATCCCCCCACTCTAGAATTAAGAACGTCCCCATACTTAGGTCTCTAGATACCCAAAATACATGAACGCCGTTAAAAACCGGGTTGGAACAATCCGTTAGGTTACTTTTTATTAGACAGTGTGACTTTGATCCATTTCAGATGGATCAACCTAAAACTCGCCTTACCTCAACATAACAATCATAAAACACACTCTAGAAATTTAAATTAAGGACTCACATGTTGATGCGCTCAAGCACAGGAAGTAATTAAATGGGTGAGCAACTCTAGAATTAACTAAGGTAACTAGATAAGTTCAATGTTTATCAGTTTGAATGGTAAGGGTAAGTTTGAACTCAAGAACGAAGTTTTATGTGGACCATTGGGACACTCAAGCTGTCCACCCTTCCGTCGAAGGTTCACTCTGGTCCAGTTCGAATAATTGCTCTCTCGGGAATACTCTGTCTTCTATTTCAGATAGGACAGCTCTACTCTTGTTCACTATGATGGAAATTGCGAATAGCAATTTCCCACTCGTTTTTTTCTGACAACTTTCCCGCAATTGTTCTAAAATTGTTCTCTTTTCCTTCTTTGATTTTCAGTTCTCGCGAGAAAATCGTGCATGACATGTTCCATTCGAAAATTTAAAAATTTAAATTTCACTCCAAAATCAAGTGTTTTCTGCTCTTCTCAAGGTCAAACTTCCAAATATGACCGACTGGCACATACTCCCCGGACTTGAGATCGATGTCCTCATCGCGCGCTGTCTTCTGCCAGTGAGTCCCAGAAAAACCGAGTGTTGCTCAAGATACAGTGCCAGTGGTCATTTACAGAAGTTTGCAGCAGATTTAAGATTATCTACACCCCAAAATTCACGACCATTTAAAATTTTCACACTATTGCTAAACAGCAACCAAAATCTGCATTTACCTGCACCTTTGAATTTTCGCTTTTCAAGCCAATCACTTAAAAATCTCTTTTGTCCTATTCAATCAGGAAATTGTCATGCAGCATTTCGATTTATATAATAGATATAGTATATTAGTAACAATATTTGCTTTGTTAAAATTTCTTTTTCGTGAATCCAAGTTTCACTCGGATTCACACTCAAGCCTCCTTTCCCTCTCAAGACTCAAGATCCATCCGATTTGCCCATTCATCTCGTACTCTTCGCCTTGGAGGTACTGCATCCTGAAGTGCTAGATGCGGCAAACTGTCTCAACAGTTCCTCTTCATCATCGGAACTAATC